ACAAAGATATCTAAAAATGGAACTAATAGCTAACTCGCATAGGTTCTCAGAATTAAGAGGTTAGTGTTAGGACTAGTCGACCTGGTGTTAGGATAATGTGACTGGGTGGGACATAATGTTACATGTCTGCGGCATGATGTTCCAGTCATTATAAACTGCCACACTGCAGACATCGTAGCGATATGACTAAAATTGTTAAAGCTACGTTAAAAATCCAAATCTCTCTCTCTCTCTCTCTCTCTCTCTCTCTCTCTCTCTCTCTCTCTCTCTCTCTCTCTCTCTCTCTCTCTCTCTCTCTCTCTCTCTCACACACACACACACACACACACAAAGACACACACACACACAACCACACATGGCTCTTATTTTGTGTCTTAGCTTTTTTATATTGCCTTGTTTATCATGAAATTGAAATTATTCATTCGTGCCTTAAAACCATGAAGCATAATCATTATTGTTTTCAGTACTTTTATTTGTATGAAATTAATTAATTGAATCAATCGTCTCTGGAATTACAAAGTGCTATATAATATTGGTGGGAAGAGAGGTCAACTTTGAATTATAGTGAATTAAGACAAGGAATCTGTATTCTATTATGTGATTCAACAAAACTGTTAGTACATTATTACAATTCAGGCCATTGGTAGATTGGTACATTAGAGTCTACCGACTACTTCAGACACATCAACACTTTCAGTGTTGTAAATAATATTTGAACACTACTCTAGTTCATTGAGAACTTTATTCATTAGAATTAAAATTAGTAATTAAAAGATTATTGGGGATTTAATTTGCAATACTGTAAGTTCTTATAGTTTTCACTTAGTTTTCTAGAAAAGTAAATTATTTTCTGAATTAACAAAAATTGTTGGATTTGGTTCTTTTTAATTTCATATTTTAGGACCATAGAGTCGCAAGATTCATAACCCATTAAATATAAGTTTATTAATCTCCTGTCCTCTTTTGAAGCAACATAAAAACTTTTCTTTGTCAACTGACAAAATTGGGTAATTATATGTCATGATGAATGATAAACAGTGCCTTCATATACCCCCGAGCGTAAAAAAATGACATTGTTTATCTGCAACCAGAACTCAAAAAATGACAACAAACTCGTTTCCGTAGCCATTATCACAGTCGTCAACAATATTAATTTCGACAACACAAATTTGCCATCAGCAACACCAGCAGCAAGCCAAATTGTACCCTTGTTGTTGACCTTGCGGTAAAAGTACGATTGAGTGTTTTGACTCCAAAAACAGACTTTCAAATATTTCTACAAGACTTAAATATCAGACCGAGGAATCGCGCACGAAAATGATAATGGGATTCATGAAGATGTGATTGACGTGCGGAGAATTCAGTGATGCAATTATGATCATAGAACGTTAAAGCTTATTTATTTACAAGGTTGGCGGGAATTACGTGGTCTATACCACGTGGTGTTGCAAATTGTATGTGCTCAGAAAGTTCGTTTTGCTAGCATAGACGGGCCAATATATTTTGTGTAATCGTCGCTGTGTTTGGCGAGTCCAATAATCGTCGTCGCATTGTCAAGGCTCATCATATATGCTTTAATTTCCATTCCATCGAGGACATAATGCGATGATACCGTTCCAATCTTGGTAACGCGGCCACAATTGGTATTAGTGTTAACCATTACAAATGATTTTTAAAAAGGCCTCATACGAGAGAAAATACAGACGTACAAATGCTCTTGTAATTATATTTGGTCTTTTTTATTAGGATCGTTTGCCGGGTACGAATAATATTGGATACATTTGGTTCTGATTTATCATTATAGTCACATCTATGTCAAAGTGTGAAATACTTCCTTGCCATTTGTTTTGCTTATACATTTTCAATTTCGTCTTATACCATTTCTGAAGGCAACGTTTCACACTGCCGTATTTTCTCTATAGTTTGATTTATGTATGCTGCATTGTATAATTGCATGTATGCTTTATGCATCTTTGTGTATAATTTAGTCCAACCCTTTGTCTTTGTATCTATAAATTTTTATGTCTATAACTGTATTCAATGCGCGTTTGAGTCAACCGCTAGGTTTAATCAATTAGATATACTATTCGTATGTATGCATGCATGCATGCATGCATGCATGCATGCATGCATGCATGCATGCATGCATGTATGTATGTATGTATGTATGTATGTATGTATGTATGTATGTATGTATGTATGTATGTATGTATGTATGTATGTATGTATGTATGTATGTATGCACGCACGCACGCACGTACGTACTTATGTATATATGGAAGATGTTTGCATACATGCATAAAAATATGCATATAAAAGCTAATTGTTGCTTTATTGTGCATATAGTCAGAAGATAACTCCATTAAATTATTGCTTAGTATAATGTAAATTTCAATGGAATGGAAACAAAATGTGTCTATTTTCCTTAGAGATTTAGGGGTAAGAGGTTGAAAGCATATGATTACGTATGCAAGAACAGATGTTGTAAATGATAGAAGCGGAAGCAATAAAACTAATAAATGCTAATTGCTTCAATCTTTTTGTGTTCTTCATATATTTTTTAATATTTCGAATCTGTAAATTACACTTCTCTCTCAGTTATGGTACATACAAATCCATCGTGTAGCAAAGTAAAAATATAATGGTGGCCATTTTAATGTGTTCTTGTCAATACAACGGACTGTCTCGCTGGTGATAAATGTAAAGTCCTTCCATAAATAACTGCAAACTATGCATAATTCAAATGCAGCTTATGTTTAACTTCAAAACCAGATAAATACTAACGTGTAAAATATGTAGTGTTACTTCTGAATGTCGTATTACATCTTTCATATTTTAGTGGATCTGGTAGAATTTATGGGACGCTAAATGTGACATTTTTACTCATCGAGAATAAAGTGCAACAGCTGAGAATTATTTACTATGTACATTAAAAGTTTTGGTGTTTCTAATTAAATATAGTAAATAATGATATGAGGCGAAAACACCTTTAAATTTTTCGAAAGTTACAACTTTTATTTTAAGTTTTTCTTTATGACAAAGGCATCTAACGAGTTACTTTTTATATACAAAAGTCAAAACATTATTTGCATAGCCCCACTGTGGCTTCCGTAAATATATATATATATATATATATATATATATATATATATATATATATATATATATATATATATATATATATATATATATATATATATATATATATGAAAAGCAATCACGTCCCTGGAGAAAGAAATGCCCAGGTTTCTAGTAGTTCTTGTTCAAATTTTTTTTTAAAAAAAATGAAATTAAAAAGTGTTTGCGGCCTGGACGCCCTTACGGGCCCAGACCCTGGGGATATATCTCCGGTTTCCCACCCCCTTTCAGTCGACCCTGGATAGATAGATAGATAGATGAATAGATAGATAGATAGATAGATAGATAGATAGATAGATAGATAGATAGATAGATAGATAGATAGATAGATAGATAGATAGATAGATAGATAGATAGATAGATAGAACAGACAGACAGACATATAGATAGATAGATAGACATACAGACAGACAGACAAGATAGATAGATAGATAGATAGATAGATAGATAGATAGATAGATAGATAGATAGATAGATAGATAGATAGATAGATAGACAGACAGACAGACAGACAGACAGACAGACAGACAGATAGATAGATAGATAGATAGATAGATAGATAGATAGATAGATAGATAGATAGATAGATAGATAGATAGATAGATAGATAGAGCAGACAGATAGAGCAGACAGATAGATAGATAGATAGATAGATAGATAGATAGATAGATAGATAGATAGATAGATAGATAGATAGATAGATAGATAGATAGATAGATAGATAGAGCAGACAGATAGAGCAGACAGATAGATAGATAGATAGATAGATAGATAGATAGATAGATAGGTAGATAGATAGATAGATAGATAGATAGATAGATAGATAGATAGATAGATAGATAGATAGATAGATAGGTAGATAGATAGATAGATAGATAGATAGATAGATAGATAGATAGATAGATAGATAGATAGATAGATAGATAGATAGAATAGAATAGACAGACAGACAGACAGATAGATAGATAGATAGATAGATAGATAGATGGATAGATGGATAGATGGATGGATGGATGGATGGATGGATAGATAGATAGATAGATGGATAGATGGATGGATGGATGGATGGATGGATAGATAGATAGATAGATAGATAGATAGATAGATAGATAGATAGATAGATAGATAGATAGATAGATAGATAGATAGATAGATATTAATACTCCAATTATGTTTAGATTTTCTTAATGCACATATATCTTCATTCAGTTTTGTGCCAAAACAAAACATTTTTTTGCATATATCTCCTTTCATAGCTCTGTAAGACATTAGCTATACAATCCATTGGCACGTTGGTACATTTCACCTATCGTTTTAATTTCGATCTGACGTAAAATCAATAGAATTGTCTGAGCCCACGACAAATGCTGTACAGCGTATTATTTACGCTCCTTCTGAGAACATGAAGATTCATTTAGACTGTCTCTTTGGCTAATGACATTTAATGTTACATCTCGACATGATAGACAAAGACCTTGCTCTCGTTGTATGTTAGTTTTGGTAATCTAGCATTCCTGCCGAGAAAGAACAAGATTTGTTTGTGTGGGGCGGCTTGATTTCCGTGGGTTTAACGCCAAATTTCAGCACATGATAAACTCTTCATGGCGGCCAGTATACATTGTGGAAGAAGAACCCGGGAAAACCACATGAAGAGCAAGCGTCTCAGGCGATGATACTGGCAAGTTTTCTCACACACCCACGTTCACCTAGACCGAGACTCGAATCCACGCGGATAGAAGTGATATCACAATAATCAGTAAAGGCATGTCTGTCTTAGACCAAATTATGAGTAATATCAGAATAACTTTTAATATATGTAGAATTTTATTAGCAAGATAACAACGACCAGTTTTTTTATTTGT